CCTTTGACTATTAAGTTAATCAGAACAGGTAGTGGTATCCGGGCACCATCTAATTCTTCTGGTCTCAATACAGTGGAGACTGAGTTTTGTGTGGTCCATTAGTTCCCAGGACTAATTGTCTCCTTGGGTCTCGTTTTCTGGACTCTGCCTTGGAGTGAGAGAACAATAGTTGCATCTTCGATGGCTGCTCTGAAGCTTTTAAGACCTTGATTATGACTTTTCAGCGTTAACCAGTGTTAACCTAACACATCATCACGGGTCCGGTAGGCACAATTGTACAGCGCTAATATGTAAAGATTATAGTAAAGTCACAGAGTGCATGAGAGATAGAAGAGATTGAGATTATGGAATCAGACACATTCCATGGTAGCATGCGCACCTCAGCTCCTCTTGGTGGTACAGGGCAGGAGAGAGAGAGAGAGAGAGAGATTTATTGCTAACCAAGGCTTATTGTGAATTATGCTGCGATGACCTCTGCTGACAACTCTGCCTCTCAACTCACTGCTATCCAGTCAATGCTGACGCATAGCCATCCCTGTGGGTTGCCACGACTGGTGGTTTTGAGCTGCCAACCATGTGGATTGCAGCCCAACACTTAACCACTACACCACTGGGGTGTGCATGTATCTCTTTGTTGGGTGGCTCTACTAGGATATAAACCTAGAAGTAGGATTTCTGTTTCCATTTTGTTCCCAGTATTTCTCTCATTTTATAGTCCCACCAGCTGTGTAAGATATTTCCAATCTTTCTACATCCTCTCTAACACGTTTCTTTCTTTCTTTCTTTTACTTTGCTGTTATGCTGAGATGAGGGTATCTGATTGCTGTTTTGATTCACATCTCTCTCATGGCTTGTGATTCTGAGCATTTCTTCATTTGTTTGTTGGCCGCCTGTATGTCCTCGTTGTTGAAGTTTCTGTTCATGCCACTTTGGCAACTGCTTTTTTCTTATAAGCTGTGAGTCATTTGAGTCAGCCTGTGATACACAATTTATTGAGTTTTCATTTTCCTCTTAGCTAAAACTATTTTTTCCATCTCCTGCTAAAGTATTTTCATGCTCAAGTAAGAATTTCCTGAATTTGTCTCTGGGAAAGCTGTGCAAGAATGAAGAATTTTAATGTCTGGTGGATTTTAAATTACTAAAGTTCTACCATCTTTATTTTAATTCCATTTAAAACATCAACTGGAAAATTTGGAATAAGTATATATTCTAATTGGCTCTGAATATTGGTTAAAAAAGGTCATCATATATTCACTAGAAGCTTAGTCCATGTGGGGACCTTGCAATTGCATTTTGGGCTTCCACTGTCATCCATTGCCTTCTGCAAACTGGGTGTTCACAATTTACATTCTGATACCATTCCCTCCTTTGGATTTAAAAAAAAAATTATTTACAGTCCTATGATCACACAGCTGATGTGCTTTTTCCATGTAGACTTAGTTGATGCCTCATTTAGAGGGTTATTTGTTTGAAGATAAGCCTTTAAGACCCCAGAAACTATTATTCCTGATAGCTGGGTACCACTGACTTTTAAAAATTTTTTTATTATAGCATCCATATCTTCAGTGATCTCTTCATGAGAGGAAGCATCGAGTTGGGCATGTCATAAAAATGAATAGTTCTTTGTGGCTAGAATTAAGGGTGAGTTCACAATCCAGTCATATATCTATGATTTATATGTCTCTGGTTCACTTTAGAGACGTTATTATCATTTTATGATAGATACATTATAAATCATCCCTCTGGGGTAATACTATTGGCAGTGTCATTAATTTAACCAAAGGTATAGAATTGAAAACACTGCCGTGAAAAGGAAATGATACACTTAATACCTGAATTGTTGAATTGTCCAGATTAAACTCAAGGGACTGGCCACTATTTACACGAACAGTGAAGGCTGGTGGTAGGACAAAGCTTTTAATAACTATCTTTCACTAATGCAGAACCATGCTTATCAGATGAACACATACTATAAGAAAGCAAGGAAGATGTGTTACTCTGCGTAGACTAAATAAACAAATTCATAGAGACACTCATAAGTGTTTAAGAAAGAGCTTTATGTACAAGAGTAATTGAATATTAAGAAAACATCACAGCCCAGTCCAGATTAAGTCCATAAGTCCGATATTAGCCCATATGTCCGATATCAATCTATAAAGTCCTCTTCAGACTCATGAAACACATGCAATGACACCAGATGCAGGAAGATCACAGGCCAGTGGGTGGAAGGTCTTTTGGACCCAGTGGCAGTGGAAGCATTTCAGTGCGGGCTGGGGTCTCCACGTGCCTCATCCAGCTTCAGAGCTTTAGTGTAGCTCCATGTGTCTTGTTAACTGGAATGCCTTGCAGTGTGTGTCCCGCCTCCAGCAAGCTATTTATCTCCTTAGCACCTCCAAATGAGGCCATCAAACCACGACCTGATTGACAGGCTAGATTCCACTTCTTCACTCTTCAGTCTCAAATTGACAACAGATTATGTAACTATCACAGAGGGCATAAAAATAGTAAATATATATTAGTTCCAGGCTACCATTCATTGGAGATATGAACCCAAATTCAATGACTGCTGATTCCATAGCTTTGGAATAGCTTCTTCACACACTAGGGCAGTTCAGCCTTAAGTCCATGGGAATTTGCACTTAAGGCTGTCAATTTCTTAAATCTGCCACAGGTGAGTTAGAGGCAAAGTCTAGTTCAGTTAGTGGGATTTACACATCAAATCCTTCTGGTGTGGCCTATGAACGATGTTGAGCAGCTTGAAAGGACAGAGTCTAGAGTCCTGACATAGCACATAGTCTGGGTCACCAAGGGCTGGATAGAAACTAGATCAAAAGTGTCCAATTAGGAACATAGTACTGGATGTATTCTGCCCTTGGGTTCTGGATACGTATTATCAAGGGTTTTTTTTTTTTCTGGTAGGAATTTGCTCCATCCAGTTTATCCACCAATAGAAATATAATCATCTTCTCTGAGGCACACATGCCCCACCCCACCCAATCTTGACTTGAATTTCCAGCAAGATTCATTTACCACTCTTACGGGAGTGTCTTTTGGGACAATGTTGTATGGCAGTAATTGAATGGTTGTACCCATCCCTCTGCATCTTGTAAAACTGATGCCAGCCTAGGTGAAAGCCCCTCCGTTGAAGTGTTTTTTAAGATGCACATATAAAGGGGTGATGGGTCATGAATCCTAAGCAGGCTCTCTACCTTATTGCTTAGGAGACTGGATTAGAAGTTTATATGACCTGAGAGCAGAACTCTGCCTTTGTCTTGGTGCTTATCCTTAGAGAACTTGGCTCATACAAGGTTATCCTTTTGTGATTGACTCACTTCACTCAGCATCATGGTCTCCAGGTTCACTGGCTAATTTTATGAAGTATCTTACCAGGTCTTTTTCTTCATCTGCCTTGTCTTGAAACAGCCCTGAAAACCATGTACTCTATGTGACCCTGCAGGTATTTGAAATACTGGAGCATAGCTCCCAGCATCACAACACCATGTAAGCTACCACAAAACAAGCAGAAAGGTGGTGAACTGCATATAGACCAAGAATAATGATCGTGAGAGTAATAATACAAATGATAGTGAGACCACCTAACATCTGCTTGATGGATGTTTCTTACATATTGTGCCAAATCCTACCATATTGGAAAGTGTTTAATCCACACAATTCTTAACTCTTAATTTACAAAGGAGATAATTGAGCTGTAGTAATATTAGGTAGCCTCCCCCACATCTCAAAGTAAGACAGTGGTGTCGTCAAGGTTCAAACCTAGGATATCTGGTACCAAACACTCCCCTAGTTAGAGAACTTCAAGGAAGTAATTTTGGTAGGATGAGAATTGCAGAGATAGGTGGATGTGCTTGGTTTTAAATAGTACATGATGAGGAAGTAAAGTCAGAAATAGATAATCAGTTTAAGATATTTTATTCATATATCAACTAAATATTGGCGGGCCCATTATGTACTAGTCCTATTGTATGTCATTTAAAAACATGGCATAAAAAGTAAAAACTGTGACATCGTCCTTGTTTTTAAATTCTCAGGCTAGGAGTTTGAAAAACAAACCACACCTTGGACAGGAAGCAAGACTCAGGAAAGCCTTCCTCTTCTCTTGATGAGCCACTGGTGGACAGGAACTGCTGACCTGGTGGTTACCAATGAGTAACCACTGTGCCACCCAAACCCAAGCCCAACTTACTGTCACTGACTCAGTTCTGACTCACATCACCCCTTATTTGTAAAGGAACGAAACCATTGGAAGGGAGAATTTGCGAACTCATCACAGATCCATCTATCAAATTTGAGAGCATGATAATTTTCATTAACAGTTGCTCCTTTATTTATTTAAAATTTTCAAATCAACTACAGTCCTCTATACTTTGCATTTATGTGGTTAATATGATTGTTATTGATCATTGAATTCAGTTAAAAGCATGTTTTACATGAATTCCTTTCTCTAGAGGCTCACATAGATTAGGTTTCTACTGAGCAGTTTGTAGAAGCAGTTCTAGGATATCTGATACCAATGTATCCAATTACAAAATCCAATGTAATTATAATGTTCCCCCCCCCATCCATTTCTACTTTCTTACCATTTTTATGCAAACCTCTTCATGATTATTGAGGCCTAATTTTTAAAAGACATTTTTTCCAAGGGAGGGGGGCTGAATAAACTAATCAATTAATTAACACTTTCATTAATTGCATTTTAAGATCTCAACACCATGGCTCCATCATCCAGGCGTATAGAAATAACAAGGAAAACCCCCGTTACCACAGCTTAGTAAGACCGGCATTTTGGAGGGTACTTTCTTTTTCCTCGGAAGGGTGTTGTTTCAAACGAGGGCATGGAAACCAGGAAATAAGTCTTGGCTCTCATTTTTGTTGCTCATCTTCCAGAAGTTTTTGACCGAAGGCTTTGCACTGTAGTAGCTCTTTCCACAGAGAGCTGACTGATACTTGAAGAAGTGTTTCATTTCTCCAAGAAAAATACAATGTATCCTTCTCAAGCTTCACTCTTCTTCCTAAATATGTGTGTTCTTATTTGTGGAGAAGCTATACAAGGCAATTGTGTGCATCATTCTAAGGTAAGTGTTCAGCAGCATTACTTTTGCTAGGAAAACACAGTTGGATAATTTTAAAGCTATATTCTAGAATTTCTGAAAGATTTACTATACTACAAATATACTATAAATACCAGCTATGGAACAACTACAATATTAGATATGTTGAGATGTCACTTAAATACTGAGATAATTAAATTTAAATTTCAGAAGTCATACTCTGAGGGCATAATAAACACATGTCTTATAAAAATACCTTAGGGAAGTTGAAAGTGTGGCTTAGAAACTAATCAGTGACTTTCTGATTAACTTTAATAATGAAATATCTGATGGATAAAAAAAAATTCATCCCATTGTTCTTAAATATTCTAGAAATTTTTCTTCAAATATTATTTTTGAATGATTATATAGGAAATTAGATTTTGTTTTCACATCGATGTCCAAATGCTATCTGTTATTGTGTATGCAGTCCTGTTGGTGGCTGGAATATTAGCTTCTCTATTACTAGTATTGGTTTATTTTCAAATGTCATAAAAGAAATATGCGTCTGATTCAAAATTGCATTCCAAAGTTCCATAACTAAGGAAAAAGAAATGAGAGGAACGTTTTTCTAAATACATGGTAAAATTTAAGATCCTTATTTCTGAAAAATATAGTTGAAACAGGTTTTCTGCAACCATCTAGTCAATAATTTTAAGAATATAGGAAAGAGCAAGAGGTTTAAAACAAATCTATGCAATGAAACATAAGCACCCAGCATTCCTTGCTAGCACTAAGAGGTGGAAACAACCCAAATGCGCATCAACGGAAGGATGGATTTAAGAAATGAGGCACCTGTATGCAAGGGAAAAGGACTGTGGCATAATGCGGACGGGCCTTGAAAACGTTGTGTTGAGTGAGATAAGTCAATCCCCAAGGGACAAATATTCCACAAAATAGGAACTAGAGAGAGATGAGAGTTTGATAATGGTTACCAGCAGAGGTAGGCATGGGAAAAGAGGGAAAGCACTTTTTAGGGAGGAACGAGGTTCTATGTATGGTGTGGGGAATTTGGCCGTGGATCCTGGCGATGGTTCACAATATGGTTGATGAAATTGTTCTCACTGAATGTACACAAGGAAACAATTGAACTGGCAAATGTTACAGTATCTATAGTTTTACACAAAAATATATTAGCAGCCTTTCGTATGTATGCTTGTAATTTGCTTAGCTCTTTACCTTTTTCTCAATGTTTAGGTAAAAAACAGGACAAAATTTGCTATTTTTATTAACAGAGTTTATACACCTATATAAATTGTACCAGCAATCATCGATACCTACCAGCAGTTGTAGACACTTAGAATGTTAGCTGTCGTGGGCCTTTTGTAATGGCATTTGATGTTGGTTTTGAAGAGCAAAATCTCACGCCATTTTAATTTTGTTATCGTGCATTCTTTCAAGTTTATAAGTACTTTATTTTTCAAACTTAAATAAAAGAGACATGCCTTCTCCATATTTCCTCCCTGTTCCTAATAATGGATGGTAGAAAGTCTATTTGGCATAGAATTGTTGCATGATTCTCATAGAAATATTTAGAACTATTTTTTTAAAAAAGTTTCAAATTACAAGATTTCTGGAAGAGAGAGGGTTCAACAACACATCAAAAGCAGAAATGTAAAAAAGCTTAAGTTTAAGCTCATAGATCATAATTATGAAAAAATTAAAGAAGTCCTCTTGGAATTCAAGAAGAGAAAAGGAGAGTGGTAGTATTGGATTAATTTGTTCTTATTATTTCCACTTGTTGGAAGATTTATCTGTAAAAGTTTCAATTAATCAGTCCAGAAATTAAAAAAAAGAATTATCCTTATGTCCTGAAACATTACCTTTTTTCCCCTCAGTCTTCTTGTTGTTTTGGATCACTATATATATATATATATATATTTCCCCCCCTCCCCCTGATATAAAGGATTCTTCATCTGTCAACATTGTAAAGGATGAATTTAATGCCAAAGATGAAAGTGAAAGCAATGGCTCTCTTTATAAAAAGCACTGTGAGGAATCAAACGATGTTAAGCATAAAAGAACACGAGAAGAAAAACATTTCATGTGTAGTAAGTATTAAAAATAACCATAATTTTAAAAGTATATGATTTATTATCTATATGAGACCACACAGTCAACAATTACTTAAAACAAAGATGAGTATGTAAGGGGGCAGGGAAACTAGATGAATGGAAACGGAACAACTAGAAGAGAACTCAAAAGTATTCATTCATTGTGTAGAATTAATCAGTTATTACTGAACAGCTTGTGTGTAAGTTGTTGAATGAGGACCTAAGCTTTGCAAACCTTCATCCAAAGAAAAAAATTGAAAAGGCCTAGACAAGTTATATTTTCCCTTGCCTACTCATGAAAGAATAAATCATATGCCTTTACAATTATGATGTGCACATATCTGGTTGTGTCCCTTCCATTGGTTTCCTAGGGTGTAGACATAGGAGTGGGTCCCATGACAGCTCTACCTCCAGTTTTTTGAGGAATTGTCAGACTATTTTCCATAAAGGTCTCCGGGTGATTGTATCTGCATTTTTATCAGCCTAGTCCAGAGGCTTTATGCCTTTGGCACATAGGTAAAAATTAAAACCAAACTCACGACCATCGAGTCGATGCCAACTCCCCGGGATCCTACAGGACAGGGTAGAACTGCCCAGTGGGTTCTGAGGCTGGAACTGTTTACTGGAGGAGAAAGCTAAGTTTTACTTCCCTTACAGTTAGCCACCCAACACATAACCACTATGCCACCAGGGGTCCTTTGGCACATAGTAGGTACTTAGTATTTGCCAAATTGATGAATCCTTCCTGTGTATAGTCTTGTGGCATCAATTGATCACAGAGGGGGAAAAAACCAAAGGACACTGGTATTTGTGTTGTAACAACTGACAGTAGGACTATGTTCTTGTTTTGATCTGAACCACTGGCACGCTTCATATTAGTATGAAGAGACACTGAAAACCACTACATTCCCATAAAGCAACTGTTGGAATAGATGTAGCTGATTCACAGCTGATTTATGGGTGTTGTGTGCTGCTGAGCCAATGCTGACTCAGAGCAGCCCTATAGGACAGAGGAGAACTGCCCTGTGGGTTTCCGAGTCTGTAATCTTTACAGATCACATCAGTAGGTCTTTTCCTCAATGGAGTGACTGCTGGGTTGGAATCACCGATCATTCTGTTAGCAGCTGAGCACCAGACCGTCGCACCATCAGGGCTTCTTTGACTTATGGTTGTTGCAAAGCATAGAAAAGAAAACGTTTGAAACTCTTGCTTTGGGTTTAAAACTCTTTGGTAACATCACAATAATTTTCATGGTCTACAAGTACAGTGACTGTGGCAATAATTTCTTTTAGTAGAATTAATACCAGACTAGTCCCATGGCATTGGAGATTGAAGATATCCCAAATGGCCAGCTCTTTCAAGATGTTTTTCTGCTCTCTCCCCCCACTGCCCTGCTCTTCTCAGGTATATCCTGTCACACCCCTGGGCATGGGATTTTCTGCAATGTTCCACAGAAACAGGGCAAGTGTGATGGTAGGGCAGGAGGAAGGTAAAAAGGAAACAGAAAAATGATCTAGGAAGCAAAGTTATCGATAGAGGTGTAGGCATAGGTGTGTACATATGTAAATACATTAATTCATAAAAATAGAGGTATTGGCCTATGTGCATATATTTTTATGGCAATACACTGAGGTACTGGATGGACTTTGGGCCTCTGCACAAACCCTCCTTCAATGCAGAAAACTTTGTTCTAACAACCTGGTATTCAGTGATGCTCACCCTTCTGACAATACTGAAGACAAAATGGGTGCATAAGCAAATGTGAAGAAATCAGATGGTGCCCAGCTATCAAAAGATATACCATCTGGGATCATAAAGGCTTGAAGTTAAACAAGTGGCTATCTAGCAGAGAAGCAAGAAGCCCACATGGAAGAAACACACCAGCCTGTGCAATTCTGAGGTGTCATTGGGACCGGATAACAGGTATCAGAAGACCCATAACAAACAAACAAAAAAACCATATTGTTGAGAAAGAGGGAGGTCGGAGCAGAGACTCAAAGCCCATCTGTAGACAATGGGACATCACCTCACAGAGGGGTCACAGGGAAGGGAGGAGTCAACCAGGGCACAGTAAAGCACCAGTGAAACTCACAATATTCCTCTGATTCTTTGAGGCTTCCTCACCCCCCATTATCATGACCCCAGTGCTGCCTTTCACTGTGGGGTAGACCAGAACATGTGCACAGGTTCAGATAAGAGATAAGAGCTCACGACACACGGGATCCAGGAACAAGAATGGGAATAGCGATACGGAAGGGTAGGGGGAAGGTGAGGGGAGGAGGGAGGAAGGGAACCTTTCGCAATGATTGACACATAACCCCCCTCCAGGGGGACGAACAACAGAAACCATGGGAGAAGGGAAACAGCACTTGGTATAAGATATGAAAATAATAATAATTATCAAGGGGTGATGAGGGTGGGGATGGGAGGGAGGGAAAAAATAGGAGCTGATATCAAGGGCTCAATAGAAAGTAAATGTCTAGAAAAGAATGGTGGCAACAAAATGTACAAATGTGTTTGATACAATTGATGTACGGATTGATACAAGTTGCAAGAGCCCCAAATAAAATGATCTTTAATTGAAAAAAAATAAAGAAAACAATAAAGTGCTACACAAATTTAAAAAAAAGAAGAAGAAATTCTTCACATAGTGGTGGGTGCTTTCTTGCTGGTCGTCCCAAATCAGAAGGTCAGGCAGAGGTGAGTCACAGCTAAAAATGTCCCCAAGTCTCTGCAGGTCGTCTTGGTTCCGCCAAAGCTCAGGCCTTGTTTTCCAGACGAGGTGATTGATGTGTGAGAATTGTCGGATGGTGCTACTCTACATCCAAGAAAGCAAAGGGGGTGGCTTGGTTCATACCCTGTACTAAAGCCGGGTCTTAAAATGCCATCTAGGAAACAAAGGCTTGATCCACACCCTCTCCTAAGATCAGGTCTAATCTCACCCTATTTATGTCCGTTAGTAGAGAATGCTCTCTAGAGGCATAAACGTATAAAATCCAGAATTATGATATATTACATAAGCAGTTATGGCTAGAAGGGCCATATTAATTGACTGTGTCTCAACATCTAAAGAAACCCCCAGAGAAGGCCAGGTCCCTTGATCTGCGGCTTAGGCCTTCCTTCTGGTCTCCCACTCTGTCGTCCGCGCCATGGCTTGAGTCCTGGCCGTGTCACAGCGTCTTGGGAGACGTGGGTCCTCAGAGCCTCTTTAGTGCTGGAGCTCTGGCCGCAGGGTCCCCCATGGTGGCGGCGGCAGAATGACCGCAGAATGACTGGAGTCTGACGGGCAGCGCACATGCTGGTTGCTTGTTGTCATTAGAAGCTCTAGATGGACGCTTCCTGGGAAGCTTTGCTAACATGCAGCAGCAGGACCGGGTGGCTCATTAATACCTGTCTGTCAGCATAATCGTCACGTCATTCCACTGTGCGTGACAGGGACTCAGCTCTGGAATTCTATACAGAAAAAGCATCTGGATCCCAGTGTTTTCAATGGCTTCGAGACACCCAGAAGTGCCTGCTCTTGAGCCTAGTGGGCCTCTAGGCAAAATGTCCCTGCCCATCGGGATGTACCGCGGCGTTCAGCTACCCCCGTGACTCCTCCTCCTCCATCAGACATGGGCAGCATCCCCTGGAAGCCCGTGATTCCAGAGCGCTAGGACCAGCACCTCGCCAAGGTGGAGGAAGGAGAGGCCTGTGTACCCTCTCCTGCCATGACCGTGTCCTCGGCCACAGACAGCACGGACAAGGTCCCCATGGTGAAGGCTAAAGCCACCCACATCGTCATGGCGGAGCGGGAATACAGGCCAGTTCCTGTGACAAGGACTGAGTTTCCGCTGCAGTGGGGCTTCCCCTTCTTGAGCTTTGGGCCCTTGGCCTTAACTGGGCCAGTGGCATCTGCTTTCTTGGCTTCGGGCTGCTGCTTCTCCTGGATGTCCAGCTGCTTCTCAGTCTTTTCACCCGTCATCTTGCACGATGGGAAAGAGCTTTTTTCATGTCTGATCCATGTCTCCTTTCATCCACTTTTCGGTTGTCTGTCCCTCCCTGGGTTATATATAGATCATTGTGATCGGTTCCCCCTTTCTACCCGCCCCCCCTTCCCTCCACCCTCTGGTATCCCCATTCTCACCACTGGTCCTGAGGGGTTCATCTGTCCTGGATTCCCTGTGTTTCCAGTTGCTATCTGTACCAGTGTACATCCTCTGGTCTAGCCAGACTTATAAGGTAGAATTGGGATCATGATAGTTAGGGTGGGGGAGGGGAAATACGCATTTAAGAACTATAGGAAAGTTGTATGTTTTGTTGCTACACTGCACCCTGACTGGCTCATCTCTTCCCCAAGACCCTTCTGTTAGTGGATGTCTAGTTGCCTACAGATAGGCTTTGGGTCCCACTCCACACTCCCCCTCATTCACAATGGCATGACTTTTTGTTCTTTGATGCCTATACCTGATCCTATCCACACCTTGTGATCACACAGGCTGGTATGCTTCTTCCATGTGGGCTTTGTTGCTTCTCAGCTAGATGGCTGGGAAGCCTTTAAGACCCCAGACAATATATCTTTTGATAGCCGGGCAGCACCAGCTTTCTACAACACCTTTACTTATGCACTCTCTTGGCCTTCAGCAATTGTGTCA